TAATTTCTGTCCTGAAATACTCTCCCATGTGTTTCCTATGTTTCTAACTGTAGTAAGAAACTTCCTGGCAAAATTTTGTGGATGGAATTCCTTTACCTCATTAACAGAGTGACAGTAAATCCAAGTTTGAGCAGGATAGACCTGATTTAAGTCTATTATTTCAATACAATTATCTCTCTCAAAGAGTATCCTGTTTTGTAGAATTATACAATTTATATTGTATAAATTATACAATCACTAATAGATAACTAATAGATTTAGAGGTACCCACCGTGAACTTTAAACAACCTCTGGTCCTATGTATTTACTTCTTAAGTTGCAAATTTGCTTAAGAAAATAGAAAGCCCAAGACCAAGCATGGTGGCTCACCCCTGTAATCCCAGCACTTTGGGAGGCCAAGGCAGGCAGATCTACTGAGGTCAGGAGTTCGAGACCAGCCTGGCCAACGTGGTGAAACCCCGTCTCTACTAAAAATACAAAAAAAAATAATTAACTGGGCATGGTTGCATGCACCTGTAGTCCCAGCTACTCAGGAGGCTAAGGCAGGAGAACTGCTCAAACCTGGGACAGGTCGGGGGTTGCAGTGAGCCAAGATTGCGCCATTGCACTCCAGCCTGAGTGACAGAGCAAGACTCTGTCTCAAAAAAAAAAAAAAAAAAAAAAGGAAAGAAAATAGAAAGCCCGGCCGGGCGCAGTGGCTCACACCTGTATCCCAGCACTTTGGAAGGCGGAGGTGGGAGGATCACCTGAGGTCAGGAGGTCAAGATAGCCTGACCAACACGGAAAAACCCCATCTCTACTAAAAATATAAAAATCAGCCAGGCATGGTGCCGCGTGCCTGTAATCCCAGCTACTCAGCTGGCTGAGGCAGGAGAATCACTGGAACCCAGGAGGTGGAAGTTGCGGTGAGCCGAGATCACACTATTACACTCCAGCCTGGGCAATAAGAATGAAACTCCATCTCAAAAAAAAAAAGGCCAGGCGCGGTGGCTCACGCCTGTAATCCCAGCACTTTGGGAGGCTGAGGCGGGTGGATCACGAGGTCAGAAGATTGAGACCATCCTGGCTAAAACGGTGAAACCCTGTCTCTTCTAAAAATACAAAAAATTAGCCAGGCATGGTGGCGGGTGCCTTTAGTCCCAGCTACTCGGTAGGCTGAGGCAGGAGAATGGCGCGAACCCGGGAGGCGGAGCTTGCAGTGAGCAGAGATCGTGCCACTGCACTCCAGCCTGGGTGACAGAGCGAGACTCCGTCTCAAAAAAAAAAAAAAAAAAAAGAGAAAATAGTAAACAGAAAGTTGACAGGCAGGGTGGCTTACACCTGTAGCCCCAGCACTTTGCAGGGGCTGAGGCAGGAGGATATCTTGACCCCAAGAGCTCAATATCAGCCTGAGCAACAAAGGGGGATCCTGTCTATACAAAAAAAAAAAATTAAAAATCATTAGCCAGACATAGCTAATTCCATGGAATGACATGCATGCCTGTCATCCCAACTACTTGGAATGCCAAGGCAGGGGAATTGCTTGAGTCCAGGAGGTCAAGGCTGCAGTGAGCTATGATCTCACCACTGCAATAGAGCAAGACTGACGATCTATCTACCTATTTAAATAAATTAAAGTAAAATGTATTAAGTAAATTAAATAATATTAAATAAATAAATAAATGGAAGCCAAGGCAGCCAGGTTGTAAGTGGCACTCTGGTATTATAAACCAGAGGAGATGAGCCCATCCATGTTATTCATTTATAATGCCCAGAAATCTTGCCAGAAGTCAACTAGCTAGTTAGTAACAAATACCTGCACCAGAACCCAAGTCTCTCAAAACAGTACATTTCTACACCACAATCTCTTTTATCTAAATTACCTAAGTTATGCAAATAGAGTGTGGTCCTATTTCTTTACTTCTGAAGTTGTAAATTTGCTGAAGAAAATAGAAAGCCTTATTACGTCTGTAATCCCTGCACTTTGGGAAGCAGGAGGATTGCTTGAGGTCAGCAGTTCAAGACCAGCCTGGGCAACACAGAGAGACCCCATCTGAGGAAGGAAGGAAGGAAGGAAGGGAGGAAGGGAGGAAGGGAGGAAGGGAGGGAGGGAGGGAGGGAGGGAGGGAGGTGCAGAGTCAGTGTTGGGAAGAGACCATGGTTACTACACTATTACTACACTATTCCAGGTCTGAAAGATGGTCTTCCTGCCAGTGCAGAATGGATTCCATCCAAAGACAGAAAAGAGTTGCCTACACAAGACAACTTTCTACACAAGACAAAATTTCAGCAAAACTGAAATTCCCGTGAACCATACCATAAAACTAGTATCACAGTGTTCTTAATCTCCAGTGAAGACTGGAGAATGAAAGCATCAATAGGTTAACTGTTAAATATTTTTCACAGGTCATTTGCAATTAAAGTTCCCAAGGCTTACCTTAACAGTTTTTAAAGTTCTATTATTATTATTATTATTTTAAATGTGGTCTTGCTATATTGCCCAGGCTAGAATGCAGTAGCTATTCACAGGCACTATGATAGGACATTACAGCCTCAAACTCCAGGGCAAAACCGATTTTTCCAGCCTCAGCCTCCCAAGGAGCTAAAACTGCAGGCACACACTACCATGCATGGCTTCAAAGTTTTAAAATCTGTAATACCGGTTTTATGATCAACAAAGGGTTCCTACTTGGTAATTCACTGACTATACAATTGTCTATAAGTCTAGAAGTAGAGAGGTGAAACAGTAAATAAGATGATTCACTAGGGTTTTCTTTCTTTGCTAAATTTTAGAGTGCTTGCCACTGGGTTTTAAAAAAGAAAAAAAAGAAAAACTTTATGAGGTCTTTACTTAACAGTGTTCTCTTCAGTTAGTAACAGGAGTAAACAAACAGCTCTTTACAGCGAGGAAGGAATTATGCCAATATTAAATCCGGAGCAAACTGTTAAGTTTTTTTCTGCAAGTGTCAAAAGTTACCAACAATTAATTAGGAGTATTTCTGTGCAAAGGCAAGAGAATCAATTAACTCAACACTTATCTCCCTCTATTGGAGAGTTCCTCTGAAGAAATGTTAACATAACATAATGGTGCTTGTAACAATCGCCTTTTTTTTTTTTTTTTTTTTTTTGAGAGGGAGTCTTGCTCTGTCACCCAGGATGGAATGCAGTGGCTCAGTCTTGGCTCACTGCAACCTCCGCCTCCCAGGTTCAAGTGATTCTCCTGCCTCAGCCTCCTGAGTAGCTGGTATTACAGGCACGCACCACCACATCAGGCTAATTTTTGTATTTTTAGTAGAGACGGGGTGTCGCCATGCTGGCCAGGCTGGTCTCGAACTCCTCACCTTAGGTGATCCACCCGCCTCGGCCTCCCAAAGTGCTGGGATTACAGGCGTGTGCCACCGCGCACCGCCAACTGCCTTACATTTACACCACATCTTCATCGCATTTGATCCTCACAAGCCAGTAAACATGCTCTAATATTTCCTATTCTACTGCTAACCTTTAATTTTAAATAAGAATGAAGACTTGCAAGTAAACAGCTGTCATTTGCATATAAAAAGTTCAACTCATTTACAACTTAATTGAGAAAGTAGAATATACAGGGTTTTTTTGGGTTTTTTTGGTGTTTTTTTTTGAGACAGAGTTTCGCTCCTGTTGCCCAGGCTGGAATGCAGTGGCTCGATCTCAGCTCACCGCAACCTCCGCCTCCCGGGTTCAAGCGATTCTCCTGCCTCAGCCTCCCAAGTAGCTGGGATTACAGGCATGCGCCACCACGCCCAGTTAATTTGTATTTTTAGTAGAGACAAGGTTTCTCCGTGTTAGTCAGGCTGGTCTCAAACTCCCGAGCTCAGGTGATCCACCCGCCTCAGCTTCCCAAAGTGCTAGCATTACAGGCCACCGCGCCCGGTCAGATACTGCTTTTTGTCATGGTTTTTATTTCCATTTTAACTTTTTTTTTTTTTTTTTTTTTTTTGAGAGGTAGTCTCACTCCGTTGCCCAGGCTGGAGTGCAGTAGAGCGATCTCGGCTCACTGCAACCTCCACCTGCCGGGTTCAAGCAATTCTCCCTGCCTCAGCCTCCCGAGTAGCTGAGATTACAAGGGCCCGCCACCAGGCCTGGCTAATTTTTGTATTTCTAGCAGAGACGGGGTTTCGCCATGTTGGCGAGGCTGGTCTCGAACTCCTGACCCGCAGGTGATCCACCCGCCTCCGCATCCCAAAGTGCTGGGATTACAGGCGTGAGCCACAGCGCCGACCCATTTTAATTTTCTTAAGCTGCAGTTGCTACAATCAAAATAAAGCACCAAGGGCCATACTGCATTGGTCAGCATTCAAATACAGTGGCATAATCTTCTCTCTTCTAAAGGGAAGGAGAGCTGACAATGTTAGAAAACCATTTACATAACGTGCAATCCACGCTCGCATGTCAACCATCCTATTTAATTATTTTCCAGCACACTCATAACTTAAAGCACTTTTAAAACCACATTTAAAGTCTCATTTTTAATATAACTGCTTAGCAGTGTTTCGAAAACCTTGAGATTTTCATCTTATTATTTCATACTAAAAGACTACAATCGCGCTTCCACTTACGAATAAATCTCCTTGCTCTGACTTGCTTCAATCCTTAAAAAAAAAAAAAAAAAAAATCCACCAAAACTTTCCCATACGAAGCACTGCAGTATCTAAAGTTAGCTACTTTCCCAAGTCACTAACACGTGGAGACAAAACACAATCGCAACCGCGCCAGCAGAGCTGCGCCGCCAAGCTACCCCCTCCGTGCCCCCACCAGGCAAGGAGAACCTGAGGTCCCACCTCTTCCTGCCGCTCCCTTCCCAGATGCCCATGTATGTAAATAGGCAGAGTGAATGACACCTTGGAACAAATTACATCCGACTGACAGGGAAGGGAGGCCTGCCGTTACCCGGGCCCGGCGCCCGCTACCGCCGCCACGCGCCGGCAAGTCCCGCAAGTCGCCCCTGCCCGCACCCTGCCAGTGCCCAACGCACAGCAACCACAGACCTGCCTCCAGGGTTTCCAGCGGGGGCGGCGGTGGACCTGTCGTGTCTGGGGACAGGTGCTGGGGAGGCTTTTTGGTCCAGGGATTTCCCTTAGGCGGCAGTGGCGGCGGCTGCCGCTTTACCGCAGGGCCAGCTGCCGCCTCTTCCCGGGCGTCCTCGGCCGGCGGATCCCGCAGCAACGGCGGCAACGGCGAGGGCGGCGGCGGTGGCGGTGGTGGCGGCTCCCCGCCGAAGGGGCCACCTGGCCCACGCGCCTTGTGCGCCAAGTGCAGCGCCAGGGGCCTCACGGGGACAGCCGCCTGGGGCACGCTGCGTCCCAGCACCAGCGCCGGCGACGGCTCTCCCCGCGCCCCCGCGCTAGTGGCGGCCGCGGCCCTGTCCTCCCTCGCCGCCTCTTTGCCCTCACGTTCCGGCGGGGGCGGCTGCTCGGCCGGCCGGTTCGCCGCGGCCAACAGCGACTCCCTCTCAGCAGTCACCGCGGGCGGATCCTCCCGAGAATGGGCGGCGGGCACCGGGGCGCGAGCAGACATCGTCCCTCTGCCCCAGCCGCCCCGGCCGGGGTGGCCCCGAGGCCAGGGAGCCTGACTGCCCGTCTCTCCGCCCGGACACCGACCGGCTCCAGCTGGGGGCAGAGAACCTGAGAGCCCGGCGGCCCTGGCCGCCACTGCCGCCGCCCGCCGAGGCCGCGCAGCGCCCGGCGTGACGCCCCTCCCCGCACCGAACGGAGCGCCAACCGCCCGCCGGCCCCGTCCTCTACGCGACGCACGCCCGGAGCCCGCCACCACGCGCCGGGAGCCGCAGCCGGGAGCCGCGAGCTCTCACCTGGCGCAGGGCAGCTGCGGAGGCGCAGCACGCAGGGGCCTAGGAGCTTTACCCGAGTTGGGGAGGCGCGAGCAGCCAGCGCCGGTAACTGCCCGCGGAGGCGTGGAGACGGCGAGGAGGGGCGGCCCGAGAGCACGGGGCGGGGCCTCCCTGAGGAGCGTGACGTGGCTACTCACCGGCTCCTTCCCTCGCCGGGCCACTCGCGGGAGCTGACGGATTCGACCGCCCGGGTGCCGCCCGGCCCGAAGGCCTGCCCCGCCCCGGAGGCCCTCCGAGTGCGAGGGAGGACTAAGGGGACGACTCCCGGCTCACGGTCTGAGGCCGCCCCTACTGCGGGCTCAGGGGCGGGACGCGCACCAGCCCTCTGTGGCTCGCGGCCTGCCCCCGCGGCGACGGTGGCCAAGGGCCTGGGCGGGCCGCGCACATGGCGCCGGGAGGACCGGGCGCTTGATTTGCCCTTAGGCCCTAAAGCTGGGTCGCGGCTAGGCTAAGGGAGGGAACGCGGTGTCGACCCCCGGCCTGGGGCGGCTCCCAAGTGAAGTGGGCTCCCGGGCCCGGCCGCTTGGCCCCCTGGCGCCCGGCGCCTCCCCCCTGTGAAAGTTGCCTCCTGGCGCCTCCGGGCACTGCGATCACCTGTAATCTTGAGCCACGTCCGAGATGAAAGCGGAGTTACCTCCTGGTAACTGTTTAGGAAACCTTTGCCCCGGCGTTCGGTTTAGTGCGCCTCCCCGCCCGGATTCCCACCCACCAACTAAAAGAGTTTTAAAGGGTTACTGAGTAAATTAAATAGTATTTCGCTGGCTTTTAGATTTTTTTGTTGTTGTTTCTTTAATTTGGGGAAACAGCACTTAATTATAAGTTAACCATATTCCCAATAGGCTTTTTCTTCCTGGAATGGATGTTAAAATGGTACAAAGACGTTGCGATAATAAATCGGATACTAGCTTTCTACTTGGCACTCACATTCACTTAGAGATGATACTCGTTTCATATGCGTGTATTTTTGAGTCATTGTTTGTGTTCTGATGCAAGGTGGCTGAGAGCAGGTTCCGCCGCTGATGTTTCTTTTTCCGAGCCCCACAACCCCATAGCCTTGTGAAATAAGTTATCCGTGCTTGCCTTTTGTATGGGCTTGCAACCCCCACCCCACGTCCAGTAGGTCTCGCTTCAATTACATTCAACCCGACGTTAATACTTTTTGCTTACTCAAAAGCTGTACTCGGCATGATTTTCCTAAGGCTAATAACCTATTTATACATAACAGCTATAAACAATAAGGGTTTTCTTGTTTTCCATGTCAGTGATCTCCAGTTTACCTGACCCTAAGTAACCTAGAGAACCTTGTTGCAGGGCCAGGCGCGGTGGCTCACGCCTGTAATCCCAGCACTTTGGGAGGCCGAGGCGGGCGGATCACAAGGTCATGAGATCGAGACCACAGTGAAACCTCGTCTCTACTAAAAATACAAAAAATTAGCCGGGCGCGGTTGTGGGCGCCTGTAGTCCCAGCTACTCAGGAGGCTGAGGCAGGAGAATGGCGTGAACCCGGGAGGCGGAGCTTGCAGTGAGCCGAGATCGCGCCACTGCACTCCAGCCTGGGCTGGGCGACAGAGCGAGACTCCGTCTCAAAAAAAAAAAAAAAAAAAAGAGAGAACCTTGTTGCAATTAAACGGGGATTGTACTTCCACCTATATTCCCAGCCATCTTTACTAGCTCTGTTAGGTTATTAGTGGCCCTGTGGTTTTGTTGTTGTTGTTGTTGTTGTTTTGAGACGGAGTCTTGCTCTGTCGCCCAGGCTGGAGTGCAGTGGCCGGATCTCAGCTCACTGCAAGCTCCACCTCTCGGGTTCATGCCATTCTCCTGCCTCAGCCTCCCGAGTAGCTGGGACTACAGGCGCCCGCCACCACGCCCGGCTAATTTTTTGTATTTTTTAGTAGAGACCAGGTTTCACCGTGTTAGCCAGGATGGTCTTGATCTCCTGACCTCGTGATCCGCCCGTCTTGGCCTCCCAAAGTGCTGGGATTACAGGCTTGAGCCACCGCACCCGGCCTATCGCTTTGTATTTTTTATTGGTGGTGGTGGTGGTTGTTTGAGACAGAGTCTCACTCTGTTGGCCCAGGCTGATCACAGTGGCGTGATCTCGGCTAACTGCAACCTCTGCCTCCGAGGCTCAAGAGATTCTCCTGCCTCAGCCTCCTGAGTAGCTGGGATTACAGGCACGCCACTACCACCCAGCTAATTTTTGTATATTTAGTAGAGATGGGGTTTCATCATGTTGGCCAGGCTGGTCTTGAACTCCTGACCTTAAATGATCCACCCGCCTCAGCTTCTCAAAGTGCTGGGATTACAGGTGTGAAGCACGGCGTCTGGAGTTCTTTTTTTTTTTTTTTTTTTTTTTGGAGGTAATCTCTCTCTGTGCCCAGGCTAGAGTGCAGTGGCGCAGTCAGGGCTCACTGCAACCTCTGTCTCTCGGGTTCAAGCGATTCTCATGCCTCAGCCTCTTGAGTAGCTGAGATTACAGGCTCCCACCACCACACCAGGCTAATTTTTGTATTTTTGGTAGAGATAGTGTTTCACCATGTTGGCCAGGCTGGTCTTGAACTCCCGGCCTCAGGTCATACCCCCCCCCCCCCCCACCCACCTTGGCTTCTCAAAGTGCTGGGATTACAGGCGTGAACCACCACGCCCAGTCTCACACCTCTGTAAAGGGTCCTTTTAATAATAAACTTAAAATTACAAAATTTGAGCGTTCCGTCTGATTTTAGTTTCATCTGACTGACCTAATTTGCTGTTATTAACCTCTATCTTGTTACTTTATTCTGCCTCTGCAGCTACGTGCCAGACTCTTCCTCTGCTTCTTAGTTCAAAATCAAGGATAAAAGACTGCTTGACCCTAGTTATTTTTTCCAGCCAGATTATACAAGTCATTAGCCAATCTGTGGATTTTCTGCCCTTGGGTAGGGTATTCACCTGGTCTGGAAGAACAAATTATTTGGTTCAAAACACTGCCATCGGCCAGGCGCAGTGGCTCAAGCCTATAATCCCAGCACTTTGGGAGGCCGAGGCTGGCGGATCACGAGGTCAGGAGTTCGAGACTAGCCTGGCTGACATGGTGACACCCTGTCTCTACTAAAAATACAAAAATTTAACCGGGCATGGTGTTGTGAGCCTGTAGTCCCAGCTACTCAGTAGGCTGAGGCAGAAGAATTGTTTGAACCTGGGAGTCAGAGGTTGCAGTGAGGTGGCACCAGTCCACTCCAGCCTGGGCTACAGAGTGAAAGTCCATCTCAAAAACAAAAAAACACTGCCCTCTGGGTTGGCATGGTGGCTCACGCCTGTAATCCCAGCACTTTGGTAGGCCAAGGCAGGCGGATCACTTGTGGTCAAGAGTTCGAGACCAGCCTGGCCAACATGGTGAAACCCCATTTCTACTAAAAATACAAAACTTAGCCGGGCATGGTGGCAGGTGCCTGTAATCCCAGCTACTTGGGAGGCTGAGGCAGGAAAATCTCTTGAACCCAGTGAGCTGAGATCGTGCCACTGCATTCCAGCCACTCCAGCCTGGGAGACAGAGAGAGACTCACTCTAAAAAAAAAAAAAAAAAAAAAAAAAAAAAAAAAAAAAAAAAGCTGCCGTCAAGGCAATGGGGGTGAGAGAAGAGCCAATTTACAGTAAGCATGTGTGAGAGGTAGCATCCTTTAACCAGGTTTTTTTAACCCTGTTCTCTCTCTCAGTGAATAGCACCATAAAACCTAGTCCATAAAACCTAAGAGTCATCCTTTCACCCCCGTCCCTCAAGCTCCATGGCTAGTTTATTCATTTACAAATATTTCTCAAGCATCAGCCAGGCAATGTTCTAGGCACTCAGCAAGACCAATTGATTGTACCTCCTAAATCTATCAAATCCTGCTGCTGCTTTCTCCACTACTATTGCCCTACTCCAAGCTGCGGTCCTCCTTCCCTAATAGTATTATATAGGCAGGCATTGTGGCGTGCGCCTGTAACCACAGCTACTCAGGAGGCTGAGGCAGGAGAATCACTTAAACCTGGGAGGCAGAGGATGCAGTGAGCCGAGATCATGCCACTGCACTCCAGCCTGGGCGACAGAACTAGACTCCCATCTCAAAAAAGAAAAGAAAAAAAAAAAAAAAGCCGGGCATAGTGATGCTGACCCATATAGTCCCAGCTACTTGGGAGGCTGAGGCGGAAGGATCTCCTGAGCTGGGGAAGCTGCAGGATGCAGCTAGCCAAGATCGCGCAACTGTACTTATAGCCTGAACGAAAGAGTGAGATCCTGTCACACAAAAAAATTAATAAAAGAGGAATAAAAGCATTTTTAGAAAATGTTGCTCTTTTTTTAACTGACCTATATCTTACAAATGTGTAAAAACACAGTGTTTGCTGTGCAAACATAGGCGCTTTTTTTGGGGGGGGTGTTGGTTTTGTTTTTGTTGTTGTTTTGTATTTGTTTTGTGTGTGTGTGTGTGTGTGTTTGTTTTGGTTTTTGGTTTTGATTTTGGTTTTGGTTTTGTTTTTTGAGACAGAGTCTTGCCCTGTTGCCCAGGCTGGAGGGCAGTGGCACGATATTGGCTCACTGCAACTTCCTCCTGGGTTAGGCATTTCTCCTACCTCAGTCTCCCGAGCAGCTGAGACTACAGGCGCATGCCACCATGCCTGGCTAATTTTTGTACTTTTAGTACAGACGGGGTTTTGCCATGTTGGCCAGGCTGGTCTGGAACTCCTGACCTCAAGTGATCTGCCTGCGTCAGCCTCCCAAACTGCTGGCATTACAGGTGTGAGCCACCGCCTCCGGCCAAGCATAGTTTCAACTCAAATCTAGGCTACTTTCCAGCCAGATTGCTGTTCTTAAGCCCCTTCTAAGTAAGCATTTTGAAGCTCTCTTTACTTTTAGGTAGGTTTTGTTTTCGTTT